GGAGTTTTTGGTTATTTGGTAAGGTGACATATTGTGGAGAGGAAAGATATGTGAGATCAACAAAGAGTTTAACATTGGAACACATGTGATCTGTAGCTCCAGTGTCTAGTATCCAATCATAATCATCAATTGAAAACACAGTATTGCACAAATGGGAAGACAAGAAATCTGAAGAAACTGAGGTCATACCTGCCATGTGAGCAGAAAATGCATGGGTTTTAGGATCATCTGCAGCTCTACAACCTTGGTTGCTGACTTGCACTGTGTTGAGGAATTGGATGAACTGATTGAAAAGGGCATCAGTGCTTTGATTAATAATGTTCTCTTCATTTCCTGTGGAGTCTTCACCAGTAGAGGTGTGAGCTGCTATCTTCTTTGCCTTATTGAACTTGAAATCTTTTGGGAATCCAACAAGTCTGTAACACTTATTGGCTGAATGTCCTGGCTTCTTACAATGCTCACATATGACTAATTTCTTGTTATCAAATCTGCCTTTGTATCCTCCTATATTGCTTCCAGGTTTGAATGAATTGTGACTATTAACATTTAAAGAGGCATGTTCTGAGACAAGAGGTGAAGAAGCTTGAATTCCTCTTTGCCTTTCTTCATGAATCAAAAGTCCATAAGCTTGACTAACAGTTGGTAAAGGCCTCATTATCAAAATATTCCCTCTGATAGCATTGTAATCAGAATTCAGTCCCATTAGAAATTGTACAAGTCTCTGGTCCTGCTCATATTTAAGCAAAGCCTCCACAGCTCCACAAGAACATTTAGGAAGGTTACAAACAAGGTTTAATTCGTCCCAAATTCCTTTCATCTTGGTGAAATAGGAAGCAATATCAGAGTTACCTTGTGCAACTGAAACCATTTCCTTCTGTAGCTGATAAAGCTTCACACCGTTGGACTGACCATATCTCTCTTCAAGCTCTGTCCAGATCTCACACACTGAATTGGCATATAGAACACTGTCTGCAATTTCCTTAGTCAGCGCATTCAGGATCCAAGAAGTTATCATGTTATTGCAGCGTTGCCAAGCGCTGAGTTGTGGTGGATCTCCAATCGGTTTCACAATATTTCCTTTCACGAATTCCAGTTTATTTTTTGCAGATAAAGCAATTGACATGGACTTCTTCCACGAACCAAATCCTTCTCCATCAAACTGTTTGGATATCAGATTCATCCCAGGATTATCAGAAGGATGAAGATATAAAGGATTCNCCATGTTGATTTTCATGAGTCTGGCGAAGATTTCAGAGAAATCTTCGTGATGAAAGGAAGAAGAACGCTGAAGGTTGCAGCGTAAAAATAGGAACTGATCCAACGAGAATGAGAGAGAAAAATATCTGGCAGGATTTTTTCGAAATCAACTAAAATACAATACAAGCAAGTATTTATACTCAAGGACTCTAAGCCACATCATCTACTTGTCCAACTCAGCAAATAAGAGAAAACAAATAAAATGAGTTTATCTACTAACACACACCATCCAATGCACTTCTTTAATCCATTTTATCTTGTAATTTGTATATTAAAAAATTATAAAAATTATATATTAATAATCTATATATTAAGACAAATCAAACAAGATCACACATGACTATATTTAGACATACACATTGAGAGAATTTGATAAGTCAAAGTGCTTAGATGAACAGTTCCAAAAGTCAAATGTGGACGAATACAGGGGGACGGAGGGAGTACTTATTAAGGAATATTAAGATAGATATTTATCTGATTTGTTTGTGTAAACATATCATTAAGATAAGAACTTATTTGATCTACCTTTTTTTAAAATTTATTTTAGATGAACTTACTTCAGGAGTAACTCTACATTTGAATATAGAGTAGTCTGTATATTTTTTTGGATTAGTTAACTGTTTGGGACAGTTAATTTTTTTATTGTTAGACCACAGGTGTTCTTAAATTGTCTTTGGCAAAATCGGACTAATCATCCAAATCGGTTTGCAGATCAAGGCCAAAAGATTTTGGGACAAGTGTTAGGACACTTAATTTTGAAAACTAAAAGTTACTACGTATGATTTTGTTAATTAATTATATACTCCGTAAAAAATAATTTTAATTTTGTTATGGGATGTACTCCTTAGTTCTCATTTTAAGTTGTCTGTTATTTTTTCATATTTGACTGAAGTTATTTCTAAATTAGCTTAAAAAATCTATTTAAATAGGACTAAAACAATAAACTTTCACCGGAAAAAGTTAGATAAGACAAAAATAAACAAGAACCTCAAAATAAAATAGGGAGGGTATGGCTTAAGATAAAATGCAAAATAAAAAATATGAGAAAGTATATTTCAAAGGAAAAATTGATATGAATACTCCTAGAAATTTGAAATTTTTACAATAATACTCCCAAAATTAATTAAAGACTCTGGTGCTCCCAATTAAATTATAGGTTTACGTCACTACTCCCATTAAGCCTAATCAGCTTTTCCTACGCTTACATGTAATTAATTAAGCTAAGTTGGCATCTTAGTTGTTTTTTTGTTTTCATAAGAGAAAAAATTTATATAGATACTCATAGAAATTCAAAATTTTACAATAATACTCCTAAAATCAAATAAAGACTCCAGTTCTCCCAAAAGTATATTCTCGTTGCACGTTACTATATTTGACTGAAATTATTTTAAAGTATTTTATATGAAAAATGGTGTGAAATTAAAAAATAAAAATTACATATTAAAAAACTAATATAGTAATATGTAAAAATAATTTTTTTTAGTAATATTAAAGATTAATTAATTGAGCTTAATTGGCATCTTATATATTTTTTATATTTTAATACAAAATACCCCCTCCGTCCAAAAATTATCTTCTTATTCACTATTAAGAGTATTTACAAGATCAAATTTTATTTACTTTGCTTACCTATTTAAATTATATATTTGATACAATAATATAATTATATCATTACTAGTAGATCTTATGATGTAGTTTTTAGATATATAATTTTATTTTTTTGATTTCACACCACTTTTATGAAACATCGTAACACGTAAAAGGAAGAAATTTTTTAGTACTAGAGTCTTTATTTGGTTTTGAGAGTATTATTGTAAATTTTTGAATTTCAGAGAGTATTTATATAATTTTTTCCTCTTATTAAAACAAAAAAACAACTAAGATGTCAACTAAGCATAATTACTTACATGTAAGCGTAAGAAAAGCTGATTAGGCATAATGGGAGTAGTAATGTAAACTTATAGTTTAATTGGGAGCACCAGAGTCTTTTATTAAATTTGGGAGTATTGTTGTAAAAATTTCGAATTTCTGGGAGTATTTATATAAATTTTTCCTATTTCAAAAACACACTTTTAATATTTTCACAATGATCATCCTTTTTTCTTTTACAATTCTATATCTATAAGTTAATGCCATCGATAAATATATACTGTGATTAATTAGCTAAAAGACCCTATCATTATGAAAAATCCAAATTCATTATTTTCAATTTATGTACCCTTGCATGTTTAAAGCCATCTGCTAGATAATGGAAGGGAGAGACGTTACCCCATAGTCTTACGGTTGGTCTAACTCATGATGGACACACAAGAAAAAGAATAATAAGATGACAACTCTAGACGGAAGCTTCACTGAAGCATGTTGGGCAACAACTTTAGAAGTTAAGGTTAGAGTTTTAAAAACACTACCTAACGACAACGTTTAGCTTCTGAGCTTTTAAAACTAATCGAAAACGCAGTTCCTAAACAAGACCAAAGTCAATTTTTATTTAAATACTCCCTCCATCCCTGAGTATTTGCTTTGATCTCAAATTGAATAAAAATGATATTAGATATTGATACCAAAATAATTTTATTATATTTATTATATGAAGTATTCTCAAAATATTATTTTATCTAATTAATATACAATATATATTTTATTTAATAAAAAGTCAAAGATTAAAAACGGTTGATTGAAAAAAGTCAAAACTAGACGAATACTCAGAGACGGAGGTAGTATTTACAATCCAAAATTAATATTCATTCAACCCACATGAATAGTAATTTTTGGAGTGTGCATACAAGCAATATAGTGTTAAACTATTAATTCCCATAACAAGAAAGGCAAACATAAGATTCTATGGGATCCAAGTGGGCAGCCTTTAAGGTGAGCCTCTACAACAACTCTATAACACCAATACGACGTACGTCTTAAGGTAGTTAGTCATGTGTGAACTATATCCAACGGGTGCCATTGCTAAGGCAAACACAAAATGCTAAGAGATCCAAGTAGCCACACATTAATGTGCAGGTCTCATGTGAGTTTTCATATATAGAAGTGACACGATTTGCCCTACTTTTATCTCCTTTTTATGTCATTTCTACACAATTTGCATTAACTTGATCACTTACCTTTTCCGGTCACTTTGCCAAACAAAGCTTAAACACGTACAAACACCTGAAGCACATAAGAAAACATTAGGATCTCTCTTAAACAAACTTTACCCAGATTCTCTAAAAAGTTAAATGGATTTGCATTCTCATGATTCATAAGTTTTGTACACAAGGGGGGAGAGAAACGGAGGCGGCACACACTTGGAACTATGAAGGGAAAATGTCTTCGAAGAACGGGCGGATGTCTCCTCCATTCATTACATCAAAGGCTAACAACTTCTCCACTGCGTCCTGCATTTCATTGCATTTAAGTTTGAAGTTTGGTTTGATGTTTTTTTCCTTGTTTAAATAAATTTGGTTTGAAATTTTATACTCCCTCCATTCCAAAAAGAATTACACTCTTCAATGTTCAAAAGTCACGGAAACTTTTGTTTATTTGCGCGTTTTGATTGATTATTTGGTAAAATAATTTTATTCTTGTCACCTCTTGTTTTATAGAACTTTTGACGTAACTTATAAATATGTAAATTTTATTTTTAATTTCTATATCAATCTTTAAATAAAATGAATTTTAAAAAACTTGAAATTTCACTTCGTTTCGCAGAAAGTGTGAAATATTTTGGGACGGAGAGAATATGATAAAATTAATTAATCATAGAAAATGGATATCACCTTACAGTGCTGGTCATGATCCAATACATTCTCACTGCAGAGCCGCTCAACATGCCTGTCATTCTTCAGAGCATCCAAAATGACCGCTGCTCGTTTCACGACTTCCTGGGGGATTCCTGAAATTATAACATTATAATTTAAACTTTTAGTGAAGCTGTTAGAGGATCTGAGTGTGTTCGGGTGTGAATTTAAACTTTGAACTATTGATGCTAAGAGAGTTCAAATCGTCGGGGAGGAAAAGTCGGACTAGTCGGGGGAGCTGGAGTAGGGAAAAGAGGTGTGTGTTTGTATGAAGGAATGTTTTCTAGGAATACCTGCAAGCAGTGCACAGTGTAATCCTACATGAAATTGAAATGATATCAGTCACAGTAAGACACTAAGACCCCTAGCAAATATGCACTCTTAATACTCGAAATGTTTTTAGTCTTTGGACACATACCAAAGCTGAGAGGTGCCCGTCCAGGAACCAGCCTACAGAAATTAGGAATGGAAGGTCATTTTCATACAAAGATTATCTTGCCAATATCATACAAAACAAATCCTGAACCGTCTGATCAATTTTTGAATATTGATTTGTAAATTGGTTCATGCCGTACGATTCAAAAGCATAATAGTGAAAATCCTAGATAGCAAATGCATACTTAAACATGATGAAAATGTTTGAAAAACTCATAAGTACATAAATTTCAGAGTATCGTTGATGAAATAGCACTATGCTAATTAAATTTGCCCACTAATGTCAAATTCCACTTAAAGACACCTAGTTCTTTTCGATTTCTGATACAAGTATATATCTATATAGTTGGAATCATAAACCGAATCATGTGATGCATGTGTGAATCACACAATTTTTCTCAATCTTCGATACAAGCACATATCGGTAGCATTGGAAGCTTGGGTCTAATCAAATCATGCAGTGTGTATCAAAGATTGCATGATACTATGTTACTAACAGCTATGATGTAGGAATGATCAATATGATACAACTAATAGAGTACATTAATAGGACCTGATAGAAAAGTAAAATTAGAATACCTGTACAAAAATACAACATCTTCAAGACCCGCAGAACTTTTCTGTTGACTTAATACACTCATAGTGTAATATTTGATCCTTTTCGACTGAAATTTAGAAGACATGAAAAGGGCCTGAGATGTAGTTACAGCCTAGAAACTGAAATCTAATGTCGCAAGTTGTAGTATCATCCTACCTCCAATAAGCATCCACTGTCAAATACCTCTGTCAAGTGAGTACACACAAGAACCTGCAATCAATTTGAGGCTTCTGGTTGGATAAGATTCTTATTTGGCAAAGACATGAAATTGGCATATAATATGAGCAAGAACAGGCTGTGAGTTAAGCCTTTCCGGTAAGGATAATAATAGTCTACAATACTCTGTGTGATTTTATAGCTTATCAATGCAAGTAAAAATGTAAAATAGGACATGTCGATTTAAGAAGTGTGAGGAGGAGTGAGGACTGATGGTAGATATTCTAAAGAGATGCATCATGAGATTCTCTCATCAACTGTAAAAGGCAAGATTGAGTGTATAAAAAGTTGGAAATAAGCAGACGTGATTCCAAACTCGTGATTTATTTGACTAGTAAAGATTCTAGTGACTGCTTAGCCACCCATAAACAGTTGTGGGTCTGATGAGTATTACAAAGTGTTTGACATTGGGATGGTCCAGTTTCCCCAGGTGTTTGCATACCAATTATATTTAGAGGTCATGATGGAACAAACTTACCACTAAGCTAAGGCATTCCCATCATCGAACAAATTCAAATGATGAAAAAGAGCATATACAGTCAAAGTCGGTGGAAACTAATAATCCCTTTGTCTAGCAATGAAGTTTACGCTTTGACTTTACAAAGTTAAAGAGAAGTGTTGAAAAGTAAAAAGTGTGTAGATGAAACGTGTGTAGAAGAAAGAGAAGTTATAAGCTACAATGCTTACATATTCCTTCCCTAAGAAGGAAATGAGAGAAGTGTAAAATTTAATTTGGGATGGACAAAAAAAACATGTAAACTTCATTACGGAACCGAGAGATTATTTCTTTTATTTGTCATGACAGTAATTTTTTTAAATAAAAAAATGAGTCATGACAGTAATTTTTTTAAAAGAAAAAGAATGAGTCATGACAGTAATTGGAATGTGGAAAAACATAAGAAAGGAGTAGCAGACCTTTGGAAGGTCATAACACGATACAAAATGATTTATTACTCCACCGAGGAGACCAATGCCATCTGACATGAGAAATAAGGTAAGTTATACATATGCTTAACAGTAGAAAACTAAGGGCAGTATTGTTCTCCAAATTGTTGAGTTGTTCCAGTCAAATGCTTAGTATTTGCAGATAGAAATAAGTTTTTTTTATGTACAACACTGAAGGAGCATATAGCAAATGGATGGATACTGCTACCAGAACAAACCTTCGGTGAGAGTGCCCTTGCCAAATTCATCCAGCAAGCACAAAGACCGGGGTGTTGCATGCCTAGTGATGTTCACATATATGCATGCATAGGAATGACATAAAGCGCAAATGTAATATAAAGGCAAGTTATCAGATAGGCTGCTATGTACACATAAAATATGTTTAGATTTTACAAAGGCAAATTAATAGGTATACTGTGGCATACCTATGTTGGTAGGTACAACATGTCAATGATTGTAGTACTGTGTACCCCGGAGTAACACACTAACACCAATTATTTATTTATTTATTTAAGCATTTACAACTACGATGATCATGTTATAATAACCTGGACAACATCATAATATAATCTAAACATCATTATACACATTCTAAACATTTAACCAGTAATTTATGCAAAGCCAGTTTTCTTTTCTTGGTTCTTTCAAACAGATCATTCAGCACTCAAAACTTCTTCACCAGCCATCCTTGGTCCCTAAAATTATATTAGTATGCTTACCTTAACATCATTCCCACTTGATGGAGATCAATCATAAATGTTGACTGTTCAGCAGTCATAAACTTGCTTCCCGTTGCACAAAAGATCCTATGATTTAAAGCTTGCAACTTATCAGTGCCACTTGATGAAAGAGATTGAAAAAAAACTATTCTTCAAAATCTTCATTAGTTTTCCTAGTCAGTGAAAACAATAATTTGGTATTAAGACTTTAGAGAAGTGGTTGCTATTTGGTTTTGATATTATGCATACATGATACTCCGGGGTATATAATAAATGAAACAATTTATACACTTTGGGAAAATAAATCAGTGCCTGTCAGTCAAACCCACTGTGGCTGCCTCAGCCGGTACAAAACTTCCAATGTGGGAAAGAAAAACTATTAAAGCAACCTAACAAAAATTTTAACTTATTAGAATATGAATTTGGCATCAATAAACCCTAGGAAGATTAAACAGCTACACCACTCACCTGCTTTACATAGATACTTTTACCAGAATAGTTAGGCCCTGTGATAATATTAACCCTTCCTGGAAAATGGATGACCAAGCAGGATCACAAGTGATGTGTATTGAAAATGGACAATTCTAATGAATATATATCTCAGGCTAAGAAGAAATGTTTTACCACCTTCATCCAAAATCTTTGTATCATTCGGAATGAATGTGTCAACTGTCATTTCCTGTAAAAGATGTCTAAAAAAAATTCCTTATAGCTTCTCATATAAGGAATTCAAATGATCTAAACAAATTTGACGCTGCTGCTACAGTATGCAAAATGAAAAAGCTTTTTAAATTCAATTGAACAGACCTCACCTTCCATTATGTATATCAAGAAAATTTTCTGTAGTCAAAGTCGGCCTTACATAATTGTTTTGATAAGCAACCAGTGCTAACGATAAGAGGCTAGAGAAAATGCAATATAATGTCAGAACATTAGACTGAATGCAAAACTTGGTATTTCACTCAGGAAATTAAGGAAGTAAATTCAATTATTGAAGTCTCACCAATCAAGCTCAGCAGCAAAATTAACAGCATTGTGGATGGGAGCTTCAAATTGCAGGACATGTGACACTAGGTCCCTTGTAATTGCTCTCTCCATATCTAAATACAATATAAAATATAAAATTAAAACAAAAGATAGGGAGCAATGAAAAAGATATTTGAAAATTATGAATTATTCTATATATTTTATGTCAAATGGAACAGATACAAGAATATGCACCATTGACCTCATGCGCAAGTAAAACCATACAAAATATTGCTCTTATGGTAAGAAATAAAGTCTACAAATTGTTATTCAACAGATATCTATAAATCTAAAGCAAATAGGGATCCCCATTTGGAAATGTTAATCAGTATCAGATTCCCACTAATGCATACCCAGGATTTTATGATATATATCTCCAAGAAGAGTATCCAACTCTCGTGTTTTCGAGGTGCGGTAAAAGAACTTCTTATCTCCATCCTCATCAACAAACTACACAATTTACCAACAGCATTGGCACATAAGAATGTGTTATATCTAAACACAGCAAGTAATCAGTAGTAAATAGTGGCCAATTGGCATACAGCAAACTCAAAATCAGGAGGTTTCTCTTGCATTTCTTCATCAAGTTTTTCATTGAAAATGCAGAGTAAGAAACCTGTAAGTGAACAAAATAAAAGTTTCATAGTTATCAAGAACTAATACTAATCAGGAAGAAAAAAGCATTGCATCAAAAGGCTCATTGAAGTATAAATTTGGTACCAATACATCATCAGCAGATGTGTAAACAAAAACTCCAATGAAAATAAAGAAACATATTTAACTCAGCCCATCATGACAGAACAGCACATCATGGTCACAAAACTGCAGACCTTGTATGCAATGTAGTTTCTATCTCCTTTACAATTTTGGGAAGGGAAGGGGATTGATACAATTCAGGTGATTATTAATTTTGACAGCTCATACCAATTTATAGGTGGCCAAAGACAAAATTTCCCCATACTTATGATGGCATGCATATTGTATATAATATATGGTTTCTTAAGATGTAATAGATTCTTCTAATCTGACTCTAAGGGTAGGAATCACTAAGATTTCTTTTGTCTGGAAAAATTTAGCACTGATGATTACTGATGACAAAAAATTCAATCAAGGGACTAAGCAGCTATACAAAGAGAGAAGGGCAAAGGAAAAATAATCATTTGCATAGTAGGAATACCTATCTGATGCATATAGACAATACAAGGGAGACCCTTATCTCCCATCATGTGAGGCAGTCTTGCGCGTTCCATTGACGAAACCTGTGACATACTCTATATCAATTCCTATCGATATACAACACACCTATTGTCAAATGGATTAACTGCAAACAAAAAAAAGCAAGGACCTCATCCAGAAAGTCGGGCAATCCTTCATATATTTGCCTCAGCTCATCCAACTATCAACACTCAACAAGTAAACCAAATGAACAAAACAAGGCAACTAAACAGTAGTGTAGTTAACAAAGTTCCACCTCATCACAGAAGCCGTCTTTCACAATTGTCTCATAACCCTTCTCTTTACTTCTATTTACATCAAGGACACCAATCACCTGCACAATAATTCAATAGCAAACATACATGTAGTTTTTTTAGACATAATAAAACACGCATATAGTTACTAACATAAATCATAACTTTCAGGTAGAGGAAAAAGTAAAAGCAAGAAAAATGTTATGAGAGCCACAGTGTAATTAAAAGGTCATTACAAGATAAAGTAAAACTCCAGCTGCAAATCGTTAGATTAAGTTCCAAATCAAACTTCTAAAGCAATGCTCCCTTTAAGTTTAAAAGCATTACTCCTTCATATGTTTCCGGTTTTAAGTTTCCAGTTTCAAGTTCATGTCCACTTCATGTTTCCAATTGCCAGTGTCGAGGTTCAAGTTCATGTTTTTTGTCAATCTTGGATCATATGAAGTGTGTTCCATCTTGAGAAGGAGAGTTGAAGTATAGGAAGTAGTGTGACATGTCCCTATAAACCATAAAAACTAGCCCAATATGTTCTGGCATGTTTATCTCTATTTAATCATTGTATTAGCCTTCAGAAATGGTACTTGAGATGTGTGTGTGTGTGTGTGTGTGTGTCAATTTGAGTCTTGTTAATCAGCATTCTGTACACATGTTTATATCATGTTAAGTCTGGATATATAAAACATTACAATCCTACAACCATGACTGCAGTGACAGAAAAAAAAAGGAATGTAGGATTACAACAACCCAGTATACTCCACAAAAATAGGATCTGGGGAGGGTGTGTGTATGCAAACCTTACCCCTACTAAATGTAGAGGGGCTGTTTCCAAGAGACCCCAGCTCAGAAACATAGAAAGCAGATAACACAAGAAAAAGTATCAAAGAGTACATTTAGGAGAAGGAAAGCGCAAAAAGACAAAAGGCACACAAACAGCCATATAAAGAGAAAGACCCCAAGCCTAAAAAGCCAAACTGACAAGGACAAAACTACCAACCCAGTCCAACACAACTATCCAAGTATCCAACTACCCAAATCCTAGATCTCTAGACGTTCCTAACTTCCTATCTAAGGTCATATCCTTGGTAAGAGCCAGAAGTCCTAAATCTTGCCTAATCACCTCCTTCAAATTCTTCCTAGGTCTAGCCTTCCCTCAAACCCACCTACTACCATAAGTCTCTCGCATCTCCGCACCAGGGGCTCAGGTGCACGCCGCCTCACATGACCAAACCATCGCAACCTAGCCTCAGGCAGCTTATCCTCCGCTGGTGCCATTCCTACACGCCTCTGAATAACCTCATTCCACATCCTATTGGCTACACATCCACCGCAGCATCCACATCTCCTATGATATTTTTTTAATAACAAGACTTAACGTGATATAACATACATACCCTCCCTAGACCCGACGATTGTGGGATTCAACTAGGTTGTTGTTGTTATTGGTGTACCCTGCATTAACAAAAAGAGTGAAAGAAAATAAGCTAACCAGTTCACAAACAAAACCTAGATCACTTGATAGTTCCTCACCAACCTGCAGAAAAGTTCAAACTCAAGATCAGATTTTGAATTTTTTTTAAAGCAAACAAAAAAATTAAAATCCGTTCTCTGTTGGTAGGTTTCAAAATTTACATGATTAGTATAAGGTGAGTGATTTTAGTTTAATCTATAATGTATATCATTTAGTTTTAAAATCATTAAACCTAAAACTGGCAATTCACGACCACCCAGAACTGGACTTAAAGAAGGTATAGAAAAATTACTTGAGGTAATACCTTCTTGACAATATCTAAGTTCAATGACTTCAGCTGATCTCGAAGATCTTCAGAAATGCCCACTTCAAAGATTTTGTAGATATGCAGAAGTGAGCAAATGCTCTGGAAGAAAAATAGCAACTGTTCTTGAAAATGCACTATGTGGAACGAAAAAAATCCTATATAACCATCTCAGCTCAAGCCAATCAGCAAAATTATTGGTCTACCTTCAGAAAAGCAGCCCAGTCCATATTCATGCATGTAGAGCTTGGGGAGTTGAATTTCTTCCGGTGGAGTGAAGTGGAGAGAGGAGAGAGAGAGAGAGAGAGAGAGAGAGAGAGAGACATAAGTACATTAAAATATCTATCAAACACATGAAAGTTACCATTAAAGAAGATGATTGTGCTTGTAGCACAAATGATA